TCAAAAACCCATCATGTATCTTTTAGAGCAATTCGTTTGGTTTTTTTTCTGCAGCACACATATATTAGATGGATCGATATCCACTTCTGTCAGAGCACTTCTCGGTCGACTTGGAGGGATCACTTGGTCGGTGAGTTGCGACAAGGCTAATGAACAAGTGTTGCGCTATCATTAGACAGACGCGCGTTTTCCCAGCCCCACTTGGTGGCCATGTTTTATCGCGTGCACATCCGCCTCGTTGCAGCAAGGTACACGCAACTGTGATGGGTGAATTATTACCTACATACTCTCGGACATGAAGGCGGGGCGAAAAGGGCGCTCGTTAGAAGGAGAAGCCCATGGATCACTTAGCCAGTGCTGGGACAGGTGAATGTATTGCCGTGGGAAGGAACCCGAGCATCTCGAAGAAGCCTAGTGAACTAGCTGGGGAGTGGGGTTTTCCGAGATTCCGAGGGATTGGGGGCAGTCTTCTTCTACCGTAACCTACAGTATCTATGCGCCAAAATGGGAGGATGGTCAATCATAATTGCGCAGCTGTTTAGATTTTAAATAAAAAAGGGGAAGAGAAATTCACTCAACGTTGCACCTGTGCCAACAAAACGTTTTGAACTGGAGCAAAAAATCAACCAAAAACTTGAGTGAGCGTGGAACTCACCTGCTTTCGTAGGTTCTGCAAGTAATGCTTGAGATCGCCGAAGGGTACATATTCCATCACCATACATTGAAAGTCCGGCTCTTCACAGAGCCCATACATCGCCACGATATTTGGGTGACGACCAACCTGAAAAGAGATGCTGCAGTCCAAAGGCTTAGGTTACTATTTGGCACATTGCCCAACCTGTTTCATGATGTCCATTTCGCGTAAAAATTCCTCGCGCTCTTCATCGATAGCGTTCGTCTTCAACTGTTTGATCGCCACCCGAACCGCCATCCCTTTTGGACCGCTCATTGTGCCTTTACAGACCAGACCGAATGCACCCTCTCCTGAAAAAGTTCTTGAGTAATGAAACAAGAAAGGCTAAGCGCCTTAGTGGCTGTCACTAATGAAGTTCAGAAGAGAAAGTTATCCTGAAAATTCATCATTCAAACATTGAAGAGTGGAATTTCCTTTTCAGAAAACTGTACTTTTTTCCAAAAACAGCATTGAAGCTTGAAAGGTTGAGGTTTCCTCGATTACATCTGTCCTTTTCCTGGGTTGTGGCTACGTATTCTCTTCTCTTCAGAGGCCGTTGGTAAGATTTTGAGGATATGGTACTATACTATGATTGATACGTGCCAGTCGCCCGTGATAAATTCCTGGTTTCAACTATCAAAAAAGAAGATCTGTGTGAGTTGGCGTTGAGAGAGCCGGACCAGAAGGTGGACCCTCGCACCGTGCGCTTGACGGAGCGTCAACACTTGATCCACTTTGCCGTCTTGCCGCCGCATCGTGACACAACCTATATATATCAAGTTGTCCCAAAAATTGTGGACATTGAATCTCGATATCAACTCTTTCCGCAGCCATTTCAAATCCAGTTATCGTGGTCTGTGATAAGTGTTATTGAGGTAAGCATTCCCCACAGCTTCTTCACCGTCCCTCACAGTCGCTGTTCTCATATCCAAAACGGTAGACGGAGTTAATCATTTTCGACACACTTTGCTATATGAATCTCGTACCAAGGCCACAAACTGTGTTGGAGGCCAACAAGCGGCTTTCTCTTACTAGATCTGATGTTACCTTCCACATACAGCTTTGGAATGGCCCTAATTGCTTCCGCTTGTGTACTTTATGCTGGGTGAAAAAATTCGGCCAATTAGCCACCTTCTTGATCTGGACTTACGTTTTCCCTGATTGATATCGCAACAAATCACTCGCTATCTAGACCTACATTATGACATAAAGGTCCAAGCACAAATGAGAGAAGGCCTCGCTCCCTTAGAAAAGTTCTGAAGTTCGGTCAAATTTTTCTCATGAGTTGACCAGTACTCCAAGGGGAGCACATGTGGGTACTGTCTACAACTTCTCTCCCGCTTCCGCTGTACGGACTGGTTGAACAGCACTGTAACTGGATATGGAGTGGGTGCTCTAGCTGAATTCACTCCAGGAGCGCCAGCGGCTAGATCCCCCAGAAAGGGCAGAACCGATCGCGCAATCCTATCAATCCAGTAGGGCGGTGAGACTGTGTATGTGGTGGGGTTTCTTTCTCCCTTCCCATAACGGAATTTTTTTCTTCAACGCTGTGGTAACCTGCGAACCCTAATGTAATTGACTGCGAAGGGGGTGAAAATCGCAACCTTCGTTCCCGCATTCTGAGCAATGTTTGCCTACTCCACCACAGCTCAGGGTCACACATTTGGAAAACGACACTGCTCGAGATCCCGAAGCTCAGCTGGGGAATTCCACCACAGTCTTTCGTATAGTTCTGACTTAGCTTTTTCCGATCGCCGTCTAAACCAATCCCACAGCGGCCATCTTCTGGGTTAAAAAATACGAATAATAGTATCCTTGTGGGAGTGATTCTGCCTTAAAATGCCTATTCTGGGCACTGACAAGAGCTTCTGGAAGCAGGGCAACCACACATTGCGTAGTGATTGCAACAAGTTGCCAATGAAGGTGACATATTATAGTTGATCAAAATTGCTTCCCACTGGAATAAACTTAACTCGAAAAAATGTTCGAAAGTTCCACGAACTTTTGGGACAACCTAATAAATGAAGCTAATTATGCGGCTCATAGGGAACGGTCGGGGTAGTTTGGTGACGGGGGAGGGCATGTTCCTTTGCTACTTTGCTACTTCCGATCGACATGTCGATCCATCTAGTGTGCTATTTCGTGAGCTTACGAGAGCTAACAGGTTAACCATAGCGGCTCGACGAGCTTGTCCCAGCTTCATAAGAGTTTACAGGTTTCACGACCTGTGAAACCGGAACCAGTGAAACAGCGCTAGTGCAAAATGCCCCCCCCCCTTCCTCATCTCCGAACTTCGCCGAACGGTCTAAACTTCTTTCTCTACCGAGAAACGATACATCGAACAGAACAGAACATCGGAACATGCTGGCTTGAGATCTTAGAAGAACTATCTCTTAGAAAAAATCTTATCGTCAGCATCTCCACTTCATCCGGGAATGGAACAGGTTTGGCGCAATCCTGGTTTTTTTTACTGTCTTATTTTGACCTGCAGTGCAGGACATCTTTATGGGGTCCAACCAGATTCAGGTAGTTCTCACCTATTACACCGCCAACGCTGACATCATCACTAGGAATGAGCCATTCCTCTTCCGTCTGCGGAGTTCGGAACTCAATAGGCTGGCGGTAGAGAATATTCGTCTCCAGAATGGAATGCCTGAAACAAGTAGTTCGAGAATGAAAGTTGCTGAGAGATTCAGTTCCCACTGGGAGAACTTACCTTGAATGTGACAGCGTCCACGGCCCAAAGCGCGGCATCTTTCTCTTTTTGGCGCTTTGTCGCTTTCGATACATGCAGTACACACATATCGTGCATAACGGACTCAGCATGGTAAGTACCAGCAAAAGTGCGATGAACGTCGACGGATCGATCTGAAGCGAAAGGAGGAAACGCTCTGGAAAAATCCAGGCTGAAAAAAAGCAAAATCTCAAACACGAACATCGTTGAAAATTGTGGGGAATTTGTTGAGAGTGGGCGATGTTTTTTCGATTTCCACTGAAGTGATCGATGAGTCAGTAGAGTTTGAAATACCTAAAATCAGCGGAAATGTTTTCCAACAGAACACAGAACATTAGCAACCATTCTCCTCCCAAGACGTTCAGAGAACGTTCTGAAACAAGTTCTCAGCCAAGGTGTTAATAACCTTGGATGAGCAATAAAAAGACTTCTTGCGCAATACTGGGGCTAACGTCATCCCGATAAAATTACCGTACTTGTACATAGTTCACCGACCCGAATCTCCTCTCTCCTTGAACCTGAGCAAAAGTTTTCATCTCATTTCTTGGAGCCCAGTCTTGCACAAGGAGCAATCAAATGTCGTTCCTCGCCTAGCCCCCCCCCCCTCCCGGCTTCTTTCCATGGTATTGGCGTCCCCCGCTAGGTGTTGCTTTGCACAATGGCTAATGCCGTTGCCGTCCCAGTCAAGCTTTGCAACCGAGCTCATTCTTATAAATCGCTAATCCGCCAAAACCCGGCTGAAAAATATTGTCACAAGGGTTATTTACCATACCTGTTAACAATTATGACATCTTCCATTCTTAGGCGCTGCGCGCCAAGATGAAAAGTAAACCGATTAGCTCTTGGCTCAGCCTTAGCGAGCGCAGGTAATCGAGTGTCATCCATTATAGCGCCAGCGCAAGAGTGAAAATGTCATCATAGAATCAGCGATATTAAACAGCTACTCTAGCATACAGTTTTAGCGATTGGTAACTTAGACAATTTAAAAAGATGAGCTCGTGCCAACGTTGCTGAAGTCCAAAGCCATTGCCTTTGCACATCCAATCATTCAGACTTCGTGGTTGCGTATTCGACATCCGCAACCTTTGCAGCTTATTCACTCATCCCTCACGCTTTGCCAGATCAGTGTGGAGTCTTATAGTCACTTATAAGGAGCCCTCACAAAAGCAAAGTGGGGATAGTGAAATTGAAATACACTCCATATCCTGGAGATCGAGAGAGTGTGGCTGAGTGTGACGTTGCGGCAGTTGCGCTTTTGATGGCATATTTCCTTTCGGGACGATTTAAGCATTTCTCTACCCAATGAAGAAAGAATGACAATCAATTGTCTTGGCTGGAAATATTCCCTAGAAGACACATCCTTTGTTCGAATGTTTAAGTGAGGTAAGCAGCCCGCCCTATCTATACTCGAAATCCCTGAGATCGGGTAGGCGTGGCCGCATGTTTCAACTTAAACCTGAAGGTGTCTATGCTTCTGGTGAGATATTTCACAATTGTTGTCGTGTCTCTGTCCAACACAGAACAAGATGACAGTTGTCCCAGACTGGAATATTCCACGAGTAACCAGTTCCGTGCCATGTTCAAATGCCACGCCTACTCTGGCTCAGGGATAAGGAGTGTATGTCTGTTATATGGAGTACACGAACTTACTGAGGACTCCTAAGCTGCAAAACATACAAAAGAAACCATCAAAATGCCACGAATCAGGTCATCTGTACGAAGGAAATTTTGAAGCTAAACGAATCATCCTTTCTCACGCGGTTTATCAGGGAATTCTCGCTTTTTCTTTGATGACCTGGGAATTGGGCGGAGGTCGTGTAGGGGCAGGCAAGGCTACTCACAATCTTGGGCCAAACTTCGGTTTGGAATGGGACTATATATAACAATAAGAATGTTAGTCTAATTTTGGAATTTTCCTTTTTTGGAAGTGGCTAGAGCTCATATCTTGTGTCGTCCCCCTGATAGA